TGGATGGATGGATGGATGGATGGATGGATGGATGGATGGATGGATGGTAGGTAGGTAGGAAGGAAGGATGGATGGATGGATGGATGGAAGAAAGGAAGGATGGATGGAAGGATGGATGGATGGAAGGAAGGAAGCATGGAGGGAGGGAGGGATGGAAGGAAGGAAGGAAGGATGAAAGGATGGATGGATGGAAGGAAGGATGGAAGGAAGGAAGGATGAAAGGAAGGATGGATGGAAGGAAGGATGGAAGGAAGGAAGGAAGGATGAAAGGAAGGACGGATGGAAGGATAGATGGAAGGATAGATGGTTGGATGGATGGAAGGAAGGAAGGAATACTGATACTATTGGCTCTGCTGGTTGAGAGGGATAAAGATTGTTGTTTGAAATGCTCACAGATTCCAGGTTAGCAGAGGTTATTGGAAAAGTTGTCAGAGACTTGCCTTTAGTGTTGCTTCATCCAAAGATTTCACCTCCTCTAGAAGTTTCTCCAGTTCTTCAGGAGTGAGGAGAGAGATGACCGCTTGCCCAGAGGTGCCCAGGGTTGGAGACGGACAGGCTTTCTTCTTATCTTCCCTCTTCTCTTTGTCTGGGTGGTGTGCTCCGTAGTCTCTCAACTCAGAAAGGCTAGACAGTTTGGGAAGAGGAAACAAGAAATGCTGAATAAGAAGCAGTTGGGTTCAATTTGAAACTTCTTCTTTTCATTCTTCTATTTCTCCTCCTCACTACAGTCAAGTCATTTTTAGACTCCTATTACCACCAACTCACTTGTGCTTTTCAGATATTCTCTTTTTTGTTTAATTCACTTTTTAGTGCAAAAGGAAATATCAGACTATCTAATATCTATTCAGAATATCAGAATATAACTGAATAGAGAATGGATGTTCAAGGTCAAAAACTGGATTCTATAGGTTCTTATTACAGTGTTATAGTCTTCTTACTTGCCCTAGCAAGTAAATATTTGAATTCAGAAATTGGGACATTCAGCAAACCATACTTGAAACCAGCAATGGCTTTACAGGGTACACCAGCATCACTTTCAATTCCTCAAAATAATTTCAAAATAATTTATGATTGTTTTCCAATATGCCAATGTCAGAATGTTTGGAGGACAAAAATTACAGTCCTTCTTCTAGCTGTTGCCCCTTATTTTCACCCTTCAAAAGACAATAAAATAAATGCAGAAATGTTGTGGTTTTGCAGAAATATAATCATCCTTCCATATTCTTACTCCATATCATGCATTTCTCCTTCTTCCTCTCCCTCTCTCTCCCCCCCTCTCTCTCTCCCTCTCCCTCCCTCCCTCTCTCTCTCTCTCTCCATCTCTCTCTCTCTCTCTGTCTCTCTCTCTCATCTATCTATCTCACCATTTATCCATCCATCCCCCAATGCTTGCTATGAGGAACAGCAGAAAAGCTGCAAGCATTTTTCCTTTCAACGCCTGAAGCCCAGAACGTGAAATTCCTGCAAATTGGAAAACAAACTGCCCACAAACTCCACAAAGCTGCTGCAGTTTAAAGAATCGTATATTGTGGCTTTAAATAACCCACAATTGAGCCAGAAATAAATCATCTCGGCTCCCAAATACAGCCAACCTGGTGGCATGTCAGAGTTGTTTTCAGAGAGACCCAGAATCTTCAAAGTTGGAGAACTCATGAAGACTGAACCAAGCCAGTCTATATTTCAGGAAATACTGACGAGTCTTTGTTTCTTCTGAAACTCAGCCTCTTACATCCACTGGGTGTCTATATTCACCACACCTAATTCAAGAAAGTCACGTGTTCTCCCATGTTCTCAGAACCTGCTTCATAAATAAAGGGAGATTCAGCATGTTGAGATGTAAAAGCAGAAGCAATGAAGGCATAGTCAAGAAGAATATGCTATCATTTCCTCAAATAAGCATGTGTGGTGGAAAAATAGAATTGCAACATAGAAGCTGGTGTCCAAAAAGAAAAGGTTTTCCAAGCAATTACTATATCTGAACTTTCAAACTTTCAAAGTTAGGAAAATCCCTATTTCAAGTTGTGGTTTTTATGGCCATTTTTCTACAGAGAGACCTCACTTGAGAAATTTTGGAAGTTTCCAAGGTCTCTTTCATTGGGTTGCTGTTGAATAGTTCAATTGAAATAAATTGAAATAAAAAGCAACATCCTAAATAATAATAGCCAAACCGTTCTTTGAGACCTTCGGTCAACAAAACATCGCCAAGGCAAATGCAACCTTAAGAAAGGATATGACCACAAGATCAGCATAAAGAGAACCTGAACAACTTCTAAAAGCACATAGAATGCCAGATGCTGCAGGAGCGAAAGGTTAAAACTGGGTCTCTTAAAAAGGTTAAAATCATGGCAACTGGACCAAAGTTTGTTAATCTGAGACTTTTCATTACTCGTCCAAGTAACTTCATCAGTCAAAATAAAAAACATTACTTAGGCAAAGAATCATTGGAATGTACCAACTCTTGCCCCATCAATACAAAAATGTATTGAAATATGTTGATGAAAACTCAATCATCCAAGGCCAAAAGTCTTTTTAAAAGGTTAAAATTATGGCAACTAGACCACAATTTGTTAATCTGAGACCTTTTATTACTTATCCAAGTATATTCATCAGTCAAAAAAAATTAGGTAGTCAGAGAGTCATTGGAATGTACCAACTCTTGCCACACCAACTGCAAGGGTATCTCCACAAACTGTATTGAATTATGTTGATGAAAAAACTGGACCATCTTTCAGACTGCCACCATTGGCTGAGCAGAAACTGTCTGGTCTGCCTCAAAATTCCCATGGACAACCCACAGCTACTCTTTTAGGGACAATTCCCATTGCAACTGGTCAAAAGGCAGCCTGCTTCAAGAAATTTATTTTACAAACCAAGAGAATTCTAGAGGAATTCTAAAGGAGAGAAGGTGGTGTTTCTACACTTTGCCAGGGGCAAGACGCTGGAGAAGGTGCATAAAAAGGCAGTCGCTTCTTTTTTTGACCATCTCTTCAACAACCTCCAACCTCCCTTGCTTTCCTGAAAATAACACTTAGGTAGACCTCCTGCTACTTCCAACAATAAATAAAATAAATAAAGCACAGCAGATTTTAATGCCGCATTCATTATTACAAGAACAGGGATCTGAAGATAAAAGACTTATCTAAAATTGCTATAGGGATTGTCCTAGTAGAGTTGAAAGAAGAGAAGAACGATCATTCTTCTTCAGTTTCAGAGAGGATCAGAAGAACAATATACAAGATCCATGGCCTTCCTTAATTCCTGAGATGTTCACAGAACGCTCCCTCAGGCTCTCTGGCTGGAAACATCAGTAAGGCAAATGTCACAGGTGGAGAACATTTAAAAGCCTTCTTCCAATGTTGACATCTCTCCAATTATTCTTTGTTTTCAGCGAATATCTGAAACATCCCATCACCTGTTAGGATGCATGGCCTAGACAAGACTTTTGTCCTTCCCTTCTGAGGGAAACGGTGGATAAAAATTTGAAAGGTGCAGCATGCTAAGGCAGAGTTTTTAAAAGCCATGATTTGCTAAGCCAGAGTTTTTAAAAGCCATGATTTGTTGATCATAGCCACAGGGCGTCCCAAAGGTGTTTTCGCAAGAGGCAACTGGGCTGTCTTTGTTTTTCCTTGAAAATGTTTCACTTCTCATCCAAAAAGCTTCTTGAGTTCTGAACGTCAGAAGTGAAGAAACTTCTTGAATAAGAAGCAAAATGTCTTCAAGGAAAAACAAAGACCAGTTGCCTCTTGAAAAAAAAAAACATTTTGGGACAAGCAGAATGCCTGAAAATCTCCCCAGACACATAACTACAGGATCTAATAACACTAAGCCAACATGGGTAAGTGGGAGCAGAATTCTAAGCCAAAACCAAAATCATATGATAGCTTAGTATTTTATGAGCATTTGTGCAAAAGCTGGCTTAAACTGCCCAGCAAATACTAAATCCTGGGGTGATCTTTTTAACTAGAAAGAAATACACACTTTAAAGTTACAGACAGAAAGACCTTACTTAAGAGAATAGCCAGTGTCCAGAGACGGAACTTCTCTTCCTTGAGGGACAGCAACCTTGTCTTCTTCTGTGCAAGATTCAGAAATCCCTCCATTGGAGGTTCCAGGGTTCTTTCTAGAACACCGAGGAGACTGAGAAGGGAAGCCATCTAAGAATTTCATCAACGCTGATGAGAAGTGATTGCTAATGGAGTAGATTTTGCTGCATTTTTCTCCCTCGGCGCTGCTTTTCAACATCTCACATGTCTGAGATGAAGTGAGCGGAAAGCTCCGTGCTCGTTGACTCGGTGGTTTTGTGACTTGTGGGTTGAGTTCCGTATTTTGTGAGGCTGGAAGATTCAAAGATGAGTCAAGAAGGGTGCTGTTGCTCGTCTTTGAAATCGAAGCATGACGATCCACGGAGGAGGAAGATGAGCTGAGCTGATCTTCTCCCAGAGAGGGTGGCAGGGGGCTGCTCTCAGAACCTCGTTGGTCAGTGTTGCTGGTGGACGCTTCCTGAGGATCCAACATGGCAGTTTGGGAATCCTGCCTGCTAGAAGGTTCTTCCTTTTGAATGGACGGCTTTGCACTCAGCTTCCTAGTTCCCTTTTCAGGAGATTGAGGGGTGCCCAGATTTTCAAAAGAGCTTATTCTCTGCTTTATTGATGATCCTCTAGATGATGTCCGGATGATCTTGGTAATAGAGCCCACCTCGTTGTCCGACATGCTCTGATGCTCAGTGCTGCTGTTTCTGAGAGGTTTTGCATCTGAATTTCCTTTCTTTAGTCCCTTGAGGCTTTGACGGAACCAAGCTGGCTTGGGCGCTACAGGTGGCCCTTTCTTCACAAAGTCACCTTCCTCTGAGGTAGAAGAGGCTTTGGGATCACTCTCCTCGGTGTCTGAAGGCTGCAGGGCTGCACCTGAGCAATGCAAGGTTGGCTCACCGTCTTTGCTTTCGATGCCATGAGGCATGTTTAAGGGGCACCTTTCTTCAGCCATGCTGGGGTTAAACAAGCTTTTGATGCAGTCGGAAATTCTCACCCAAGGATCTTCGGTTGTCGTCTCAAGGCTATAATCCACCCTCGCTTGCCTTCTGAGTGCAGGTCTTGTAGATGAGTCTGTCTTCCCTAAAATGCATCATATGATTAACAAAACATCAGTTCTCACCAAAGGGATCGTTCTGAATTCAAAATTGCCCTACAGGATTACAGTTCATGCATGCTTGTGAGTAAGGTCCACCAAACACAATTATACATACTGTAAGGAACTGTACAAAAACTGGTTTGCATGTGCCACTAACAATCCTGGAACCTTACAATTGCTCCCGTGTGATCCTAGGCCTATGAGTGAAATTTATTTCTAACAAAGCAAAAATTGAGAAAATCTCTTTCAAGTTGAGCTAGATGTTCACAAAGTTTTTATGGCAGCAATATAGGAGCAAGGTCACTATCTTCTTCTGTTTTTTTATTTTTTAAAGAAAAGTCAAGTGTAATCTACGATGGAAATTCGTGGTGGTTTCCAATACAAGACTAATAAATCCTAACCCTCCTTAGCTTCTGAGCCTAGGCAAGGTTCAGATGTGTCACCCGTAGACACTAATTCACATAATTGTGCAATTAGATTATCCCATTTCATTCATGTATTAATTTTGAGTGCAATCCTGGGCAGATTTATTCAGGTGTTTGCAGAAAACCAAACGTCTGTCTGCAGTCTTGGTCATGATAACAATCACTAGCCCAGGACTGCAAAGCTGAAATTTGCACAATAATTCCTATGTCCCATTCCAAAGGTTAGCACTGACTTTCCATAGCAGACAAACAAATCTTACCTTTGTTGCTTTTCTCTTCGCGATCTGCAGCTCCTGAGGACACCTTCAGCTGTTCTGCAGCTCGTGGAGCTAAAGAACTTGCAAATGTGCCGTGAGTGACAACCGTCTTATTTCTCAGCCGCAGCAGGTCCCCAACTTCCTGTCGACAAAACAGGAAGCACAAAGCTGACAACACTTAGTTGCATCAAACTGCATTCTCTGGTACCATCTAGAGAAACACAAAAGGTTTCATCTGGAACTCGGCCCAGAACCAGGTTGGGTTTTCAAGTTTGACAAATGATGCTGTTAGTTCAGCTTTATGCCATTAGATCCTGCAGTCAATAACACTAGGGATTTAGTTTAATACTGACTTATCTAATCAGTGGGTTAAAAAAACAGGAAATTCTTCTCTCTTTTTTTTAGCCATAGACCATATTTTTGCCACTTTTAAAAATCCTTTGCAGTCAATTCCTAAGCATCAAAAAAATCAAAATAGGGACTTGATTTACACATGCACTTCCATTTCTGGAAAAATACAAACAATGCTTTCAGAGGCTTAAATTGTGTTGAAATATTCTCTCCCCTCCTTCCAGTTCACATTTAATTTCCTTTGAAATTTCACTGAAAGGGGAAGAGAATGTCAGTGAAATATTCTTGGGCAAAGTGTGGTTTTCTTGCCCTTTTTCAATTTTCAGGAGGCCCCATGTGAATGTCGTGTCTTTTCATGGAGAAAATAACGAAGGAGAAATCTCCTGGCAGTGACAGCAATTAACCAGTTGAATAACTTGCCTCAGAGGTTGTGGGTGCTCCAACACTGGAGGCTTTTAAGAAGGGATTGGACAACCATTTGTCTAAAATGGTATAGAGTTTCTTGACTGAGCAGGGGGTTCGACTAGAAGACCTCCAAAGTCCCTTCCAACTCTGCTATTCTGTTGTTCTTGCACAACCCTCTGTCCTCCCTTGCTTCCATTCAATCCCAAAGGAAAACATTAACAGAAAACTCCTCTAATGGCAATTCTTGCAGGTGGAGACTTGGAGTGTTTCAGTGTGATAGAAAGACGTTAAAGAGAAAATGTATATCTTCATTCCAGTAAGAAAGTCATCTCAAAAACACCAAGAAAAAATTGACAGAAATTCTCAAGCAAGCTGAGAAAACAGGGAAGCTTCAAAGAAGGATCTTCAGCATTAAACATTAACACACATTAACTTAGAAAAGTAACAGGCCAAAGCTATTCAGATATCTACATGTGAATAACCCCATAGTTTTATGTGATATCTTAAATGCTCATATTTTTATATGGGTAGATATGGAAGGGGATTCTAAAGTTTCAATAGGATATTTGGGATAGATCAAAGGAGAATGGAGAATCAGTCTCATCAATTTCTAAAGCTTCTAAAGGCCTTATCTATTTTTTAAGAGCAGAGTTGTGGACCTTAGAAATATAATTATTTTGCCTCTGAATAACTAATCACTGCAGGACCATAAGTGTTACCTTCATGTCTTGCATATTTAATTATCTCATTTGTGGTCTTCTGCATATCAGATTAAACTTCACAAATTCCTGGTATTCTTGCTTACCACTATTTCTTTGACCCCCATCAAAATGTAAAAATATACTACAGTGGTCTAATATGATCCAGTTTTTACCAGTTTTAAACTAAGCTGTAAGAAAGGCGTTCCTGTGTTCTGTGAATCCAAACAACAAATAAGACTATCTATCTTTAAATTATCTGCAGTACTCATTTTTATGAATATCCGTAGAGGCATTTTTTAAAATAAAACCATAGAAAGAAAGATCAAAATCTTTTATACCATATCTGACGTTCTATAAATTTAGGTGCTTTCCTGCCATCCTAGGGTTACCGGTTTTATTAGTTTTGCATGCTTTGCATATATCACTTGATATTTTCCTTTTCTGCACTCAACATACTCGGGGGTAAAGTCTAGTTCCTTTTCCCTGCTATTGTCTTCTCAAACTTTTTTTTTTGAAGACACAAAGGCCCGCAGTTGGTGTTGCCACATACAGAAAAGATTTTTTGCTTGTTCTCAGAAATGGTGGTTGCTTTGAGAGGAACCATTTCAACGAGTTTTTTTTTTCTTGTTTTGCAAAAATGCATTTTAATTTGTTATTCAATGCACTGGTTTCAAAAGAGAATCCATGTTGAGGTTCACACTCATCATGTTTTTGCCATCTCAAAAAGGTAAACTTATTCTCTAAAAATTGGCTATAAAGCCTGCCCTGGAGGAAAGAAACTGGTTTACATTCAGCATTGAACTGTGCCCTGTTCAGATCTCAACTCTTTCAAGCAGTGGTGGATTTCAATTTTTTTTACTACCGGTTCTGTGGGCGTGGCTTGGTGGGTGTGGCAGGGGAAGGATACTGCAAAATCCCCATGCCCTCCCCACCCCACTAACCTGCTTTCCAGCTCCGTTCTGTTGTACAGGGCAACCAAAGAAGACCCAGCCGATCAGCTGAGACTCAGTGGGAGGCAGAGAATAGATGGGGGCGGGGCCAGTCAGAGGTGGGATTTGCTGGTTCTCCAAACTACTCAAAATTTCCACTACCTGTTCTCCAGAACTGGTCAGAACCTGCTGAATACCACCTCTGGTATTTGTTGGTAGTAGCTGGCATTTGTTGGTAGGGAGAGGGTTCCCAGGCAGGCCCAACTCCTTTGTTGTTGAGATTGGGGAGGGACTTGCCATGGGCTCAGGGCCAACTAATTGTCCTCCCCATCTTAATGACTTGGTTCCTTTTCCTGGCTTTTCTCCACACTGCTTACACGCCTTGACTACTTTTAGTTCGGTGGCTTTGCCCTAGCCTCATATGTTCCTCGCTTAACCAACAGTTGCTTTGCCTTCCGTTATGATGCTTCTCCCAATGACCTTATGACCCAGTTCTAGAGTTCTGATGCTGCCCCCCCTCCACCAACTGTGACACGTGAAACTGAAACCTGGCTCTAGGTCCTGCCTCAGTTTACCTTTCCAATTAAGCAACAGAGTTGGAAGATCGTTGAATGATTTTTTTGAAGCCATTTCTTCCTTAGACTGAGACTTTGCTTCAGACCTCGGTAGATTTTGAAGGGTTTGAATGGATGCTTACAGCCATTCCTGTGGAGTTGAATAAGATGTTTCTGGGCCTGTAACAGCAATATGATTTAGGGATATCTTCACCCAATCATCCACATCTCCTTCAAATGCTTCAGGATGTTCCTTTTGAAACTTGACCCAGGCATCTAGAAGTTGTACTCCCTGAGACTCTCTTACTGGTTTATAAAAATCTGCTTTCACGCTTTTTAGGCATTTATAAAGCCACCGCAATACATTTTGCCGGGATTCTTTTGAGTTTTTTGGTTTGGAGACTGTCTAAAGACACTTTAAGCCAGGAGTCTTCAAACTTGACAGCTTTAAGACTTGTGGACTTCAACTCCCAGAATTCCTCCTCCAGTCATGTTAGCTCAGGAATTCTGGGAGTTGAAGTCCACAAGTCTTAAAGCTTGCCAAGTTTGAAGACCCTTGTTTGAAGCCATTCCTTCTTTATGTCATATCCCAGTCCACCAGGCTTCTTTTTTTTAAAGAAGTTATTGCTGGCTTTGTGGTGTTGCACTATCTACACTTGTTTGCCGGGGATTCACAAACTCTAATTTGAACTCTCTACTTCTAGATGATACAACCTGGCCCTTATACATCAATGGGCAACAGCTGTTCTTCCTCAGTTGTCTCTCTCTCCATTTTTGGCATTTTTTAGCCCCTTCTGTCCACCAGAAGCTTGTCTTACCTGGGCATCTGAAGATGCTGGGACTTCACCCTCATGCAGACTGGGTCTCTTTTTCATCTCTCTGATCATCTGCTCATTATCAGGACAATCCTGTTTGAAATACTTCCTTGGTGGAGGCTTGGGTTTGAATGACCTCGGTTTTCTAACCAGGATCTCTGTGCATTTTTTAGTCCTGTGTGACGAAAGGGCACCGACGTCTTGAGACACTGGTGGGGAAGACTCATTTCGCAAACTCACTTCAGAAAATGAATGCCGGGAGCCCGGTGGCTGCGTAATTGCTACATCCAGACGATGTTCTTTCCCCTGGCCATTGGTCAACTGATAAAGAAGGCCATGTCCACAAGATGACCTGGGGTTGTAACTGCTATCGCTGCTGGAACGGATCATTGGCTTTTGAGAAGGATGGATGAGGTGAGTGTCATTCTTCTCCAAGTATTTTTCACAGGGAGCTTTCTTGAGCCAACTGCCACCTACATTGAAAGTAGAACACGGCACAGTCAAAACACGGCAGAGAAGAGATACGAGATAATGGCTGAAATCCAAAGACCTTCATCGATAGCTCCGTGCACCCACCCCACAGTGCCTGGGATTTGTGTAAGGACTTCAGTAGCCTCACATGGCCGCTTGCGTGGCAAAACAGGACGGTTGTTATTACCGGGGAAGCTGCAGTTCAGAGTTTAAAAATCTCCACAAATCACTGTATTGTCACCATCTCCTTTTAATGACCCCATAATCCCTTGCGGGGTGGAGTCTGGGCAATTAAATGGAGTGGAGTGTTTACTGCCCGGATGCCTTTCCTGTTGCCAATGCAGAGTTTTATTCAGCAGATACATTCTCATTGTGCCCAGAGAGACATCTGCCTCTATCTAGGATCGAACTCACAGCCTCCTGATTGTGAGGCGAGAATTCCACCTCTAGGCCACCATACCACTCCACAAATCATTGTTTGTCAAGGAACTAATCTGAACTCCTTCTCATTATTGATAACTCTCCAATATGGCATTGATTTTACCTTATACTCTAATTAAAATTAATGTCTGCTTTACAAATATAAAAATAATGGCCACATTTATTTTTTATTTCTATTACAATTGCTCAAAGAAGAATTACGGTTTTCTTGGTGAAGGTGAAGCTGATGATTTCTATCAGGATGGGAGTCATTTCTTATTTTATGGTCTGAACGTCTCAAAGTCTCGGAATTATGATGCAATGATATTATCAAAGAAAATGCATTTCAATCCAATTTTTCTGGTTTTGGATGAACTGGAGAGGGTGCTATGTTACAAAATAGGGTTGTTATATGCTGAAAGTTCTAACTCTCTTTTACCTCCTATGAGGACAAAGAAGAAATTCCCTTAAATCAGTTTAGGTCCAGCTAGAGGGAACTGCGTGATTGTATTTTTAAAACTGCAGCTCACTATTGTTTGCTCCTTTGTCCTAGAATATCTATTTCTCTCTCTGTGGTATCTGGGTACCACTTCTGGTAACAAGGTGATGGACCACAAGGGTCTCTAAGCTGATTTGGCCTGGTTGGATATTTTTAAAAAAGATGGCAAATTCTTTATATCTAAATTGAGGGGAATTCCTTACCTTCTGCATTCCAATGGAATTTGTCTCTTTCCAACTTGTTGCTTTCCATAGCATTGAAAATTGCATCCTTTAGCTGCTGTTCAGAAACCTGCAATAGACCACCAAACCAAGATGAAAACTTTAAAGTTTGGCAAAGTCTGGAAATTTTTATATACAGCTATGCAGCACTTTGGATCCAAAAACAGAGAACATAGTATTAGGGCTTCTTAAACACAGCTTCTTAAAACCCCTGCATCTTTTTGCCAGAAAAGAGATGCAGCTGCTTTAAGGAGTTTCACAGAATTGCTACATGCATGTCTGATGCACTCCAAAGCATCTTTACCCTTTCAGCTTTGAATTACACAATATTAATTTTAACTAATAAGAATCAAGCTACCTGGTTGCTGTTAAGGGACAAAACAATGAAAGAAAGAGAATGGCCAAGAAGTTCTAAAGATGGTGGCAGACACCTTTGCAAGGAGATAGGCCTCAGGAGGTGCCTGATGAAACCCAGACCTGACTTAGGTTCTCCACAATAGAAAGACTTTGCGAACAAGTCATCTTGGAATTTGAGTAGGGGGTTGTTTTGGCTTTGAGGGAAAGGTTATTTGGGCCCAGAGCTTTGGGAACATTAAAATATATAAATTTCATTCACTTTCCATCTTACCTGTGGATCAGGATGCCTGCTAATGATAATTTGCACAATGCCAGGATTGCAGTGGCTTAGGACAGCGTGAACTTCACTGAGGGTCATTGTTTGGACAGATGCCTCGTTGATTTCCACTATTTCATCTCCACCTCTTCAAGAAGATTGCCATTACAAACAAAAAAACAATTGTTAACCCTAGTGTTAACATCGTATAGTTTTGCAAACCTGAAACATTACCTATGTCATTTCTATTGGCTACTTTATGATTTCAAACAGAGACGCCTGAAGCCCAAAGAATTCTAGCTTGTCCTCTATTTTCAAATGAGAAATCCATATATAGGCAAATTAAGGCAACACGTTTCAAGTTCTTTATCTCACATTCATTTTGATATAAAAGGAGACATGTAGCTTTTGTGAAGTTGGGGTCCAATCTTGTTGATTGCTTTGGAAACAACTACTGGATATCTTATTTATTTGAGAATCACCTCTTGCATTTATTTTATCTAAGGCTAAAAATTAACTTCTTCTGGGTCAGTTGGTTGGGTCACTGTGTTAATATAGCAATAGCAATTAGATTTATATGCTGCTTCATAGTACTTTACAGCACTTTCTGAGCAGTTTACAATGTCAGCATATTGCCACCGACAATCTGGGTCCTCGTATGACATACTAATCCACCTCCCACTATATTTAAATGTGTTATGTGAAGAAGATCAAAAGCAGTCCTCTCTCTCTTTCAGGAGGCAGCAAATTTTAGAAAACAAATCATGAAATAGAGAAAGACATCTCTCTGCAGCTTGTGGTAGCTCTAATCTTGCCCTGTTTCACCGAAGTACAAAACAAATGGAGGCTCAGCTTGAACAGAAAGGGTTAGACCAAGATTGACTCATAGCATGGAGAAAGAATATGCAGGCTCCTGTTCTTGGTTTCATCTTACTTACTTCTCTAAACTTTCTCCAGATGCTCTGCTTTGCAAGAAACAGAGCCTTGGCCCAGAATTTAGCAGCTATGTTGTGCTTACAGTTTCTTTTTTGATGCAGCCTGGTCTTTCACTTGGCAGAAGAAATTCAATACTGAGACATTTCAAGTTTAATTATGGAAGAAAGGAAAGCAAGGGAAGGGAAAGAAAAGAAAGAGAGAAAGAGAGAGAAAGATAGAAAGACAGACGGAAGGAAGGAAGGAAGGAAGGAAGGAAGGAAGGAAGGAAGGAAGGAAGGAAGGAAGGAAGGAA